CAGAGCCACAGACCGACAAACAGACACCCTATGCTGACTATTTTTTTAAATAGGGGTTGTTCAACCCCTATGTTTTGCATTGACAACCCCTATTTTGTGACATTGGCCTTTGGGGTCCATTTTGGGTTGTTACTTTGTGTTTATCGAAAATTACGCCTGCTATTGCAACCTCTTAAGAAGCCTTGGGAGCCAGTAGGTCACTATTTATTGATAGGGTCCTCGGGGCCCTTTCGTGTTTGCGCAATGCACCTGCTGAAAACCTTGCGTAGACGGAGCCTTCATTCTAGCAAAATCTAGAATTTTCCTCTGCAATTTGCGCAGGTGGCACGAACAACAAGCAATTGTGTGCTTGTTTGTTCCGCTCCAATTCTCACACAGCTCCAAAAACGATGTGAGCCTAGACAAACCGTAGACAAAGCGTAGAAAAACCGTAGAAACACCATTTTTTTCGCGTAGAACCACTATTTTTTGGCGTAGAACCACGATTTTTTGGCGTAGAACCACTGTTTTTTGGCGTAGAACCACTATTTTTTGGCGTAGAACGGGCAAATTTTGCAGGGAACCCAGAACATCAACATTCTCATCCTGGAATGGTTGCTGTGATGGGTAAAAAAAATGCTGTCCCGTTTTGTTTGGTTTGGCTAAGAAGGGCAGAAACGATCAGAAGAGGGTTCACCCTCACGCGCTACATGGCCATGCTAAGAAACCAAGCAACATAGAAGCCAACATTAGCCTTGAAGATTGTAACAAATATTGCTGCATATGACAATACATAGTCGGCTTTGGGATCCTATGAGGCGGCCTTAGCGACAAGTCTTTCCTAGCCCTTGTTCCAGTCCAAAACGGAGGATGCCGCTCTCACAACGACTATTTTTAAAAGGATTTGGAAGCATAGGGGACAGACCGACAGACGCGCAGACGGACAAACGGACAAACCGACGGACGGACCGACCGACTGACAGACACCACACTCCTCAAGAACCCCTCCCAACCTCAAACTTGCCCCTCCAAACCAAATTTGCTGCTCCCCCCTTTCCCCTGCAACCCCATTCCAAAGGACCCTGAAAGGGCACTTGTATCATTGCACACATTGCACTAAGTACAGATGAGTGATACTTGATAGCAAGTTGCTTTCGCAGTCACTTAGACATAAAGTGACATCGGTTTGCCCAAAATCGATGTGCCGGCAATTGGTCAGCCATTGGGGGGTGCTGGTGTGTGTGTGTGTTATGTGTTTATGCGTCTATGTGTGTTTGCATGGTTGTCTGTGTGTCTGTCTGTCTGTCTGTGTGTCTGTCTCGGCGTGTCGGGGGGTGGCCAATTGCCGGCACATGTACGTTGAACCGTCACCTTTTTGGGATAACCCCTCAATTGGATCCCCTCTAGTATCCTGAAGTGACGTTTCAACAAAAGTGACTTTTCACTGCACGTTGGTGATGGCAAAAAGTACATGTGACTACAAAACCATTTTTAAGCAAGTGCTGGTCAATTGCCGGCACTTCACCCGGGACGCCAATTACCGGCCATCGGGGGACATATATATATATATATATGGTTCCGGTCGGCGGCGGCCACCCCCCCCCATGGTATCCCCCCCACTTGGGGGGGGGGGCGGGGTGGCCGCTCGCCGACCGGGGTACGACTCGAAGCCTTGGCCCTAACCGGAACCCACCAGCGGGCCCGGAAACGCCATTTGCAAGATGACCAGCGGGCCCACAGGGGGAGGAGGAGGTGGGGCCCTATTTAAGGCTACCATGACCATGGCGGGGGAGGGGGGGGTGCCAGACCTCTACCATATATATATATATATATATATATGTATGGTACCCCCCCCCCAAAAAAAGAAGAAGAAAAAACACTGTTTGCAGAATTCACTAGTATTTCCAGTGAATTTAGCATTTTTTGCGCGTCTGAAAAAGACGTCAAAAAGGGGGCAGTTCCAAGGGCAATTACTCTGGACGTTTCATGCTCTGGCAAACCTTCAAAAAATCGGAAAACCAGACCGCAAAACGAAAAACCGAAAAAACCTGAAAAAATACTCCCGGAGGGAAAGGTAGCTGGCAGACATTCTCCAACAGGAGTATGTTTTTCTGTTTTTCCCCGTTGTTTTTGTTCTTTTTTTCCGGTTTTTCTGCTTGTCTGATCTAGCAAAACCACATCTGCCAAGTAGGCTTCTTCAGGTCTCAAGCTCAATCTGTCTGACTTCCTTTTTGTTTTGTTCCCCAACCACTGAAAGGTTTGGGGTCTCAGCCCAGGTACGCTCCGGGGTGGTCCGGGGCGGCCTGGGTTAAGGTTCCAAAGGGTCCCACCAGGGTTCCACCAGGGTTCCAGGAGGGTTCCACGAGGTTCTGCGAGGGCTGCAGGGTGGTGTGAGCACCAACAAGAGCACCGCATGCTGTTGGGGATGTCACCTGAGCTTTTCTTACATATTATTTCATTCACTGGTTTAAACTTGTTAGGCTTTGGAATCTAGGAAATGCTGCAGTGGATCTGGAATTATATGACACATATTATGTTGTAGTACATGTTCATTGTGTTCTTTCTTTAGTCGGAGCTATAATTGCTATCTTCTCTAGATTTATTTTCAATGGAGAATATATTGTTGGTACTAAGAAGTGATTGCTTTCATCCTTATGTACACACACACACACTCTCTCTCTCTCTCTCGCTTTCTCATTGCAATTTAATATTCATGGCTATTATTCTTGCCTTTTCTCCAATGCATCTCCTGGAATTACTGTTATGCCAAGAAGAATCCCATCCTTTCCAGATTCTGTTCATTCCCCCACAGGTCAAAAAGGTGGGTTTTGGGAGGGGGGGTAGCATATATATATATATATATTTATATATACACGTGTGCCCCGGTGCAGTCCACATCACAACACAAACACAAGCGCACACTGGCACTTTTTGTGCGTCCCCAGCCGTATGACTTCACTAGCTTCATTGAAGGGTGTGGCATTTGGGAAGCCACGAAAAGGTATGCTCGATCCCCCCACTGACCGCAGCGGATGGTCCAACGAGGTGCGACAAAATGGACAAGCCGCTGAAGCAGGTCCTATGCTCGAAAACGATGAATTTTCCGAAGCCTCAGCTGTGTGGTGGCACCCTTGCGCACAAATCTAAAGCAGAACCGACCCGCCGCATAGCGTTTTGCAGTGGATCGCCTTCGCAAAATCAGCATATGCTGCACTGGACGATCGAAACCACCCACATTTGTGCACAAGGTGTTCGGACAAGAGCTCAGAACAAGAATCTGCCTGCTTCCTGCTTCATAGCACACCCAAACAAACTCTGTCTCCCCGACTCCTTTGCAGCCAAAGAGCTGAGTATCCTTCACTGACTGTGCGGGGCAGGCCCTTCTTTCCTTTGCCTCTGCCTATGGCGAGGCAAAGCATCGCACGTTGGACCCGATGCCACCCTTTTGTAAAGGGATCACGGTGTGGCTGTGCCCAAGCGCCTGAAACACTCTAAGCATTCAGATTCGGGAATCCAATGAGGGGCCGCTTGGAAAGCCAGCAACATCAAAGCTAAACACCCAAACTCAGAAGCAAAACGCACGGAGACACAGCCAGGGTGATGTATAAAACCAATGACTCACATGCATGGCCGTGGCCCCAGCCCTGGCCTTTAGCCCCTTCAGGAGCGCCGCCCTCGAACATGTCCATGTCCACCAAGGCTGTTGCTGTGCGAGCGGCCCACCTGAGGCGGATGCGGATGCTTCAAGTGCCTCAATTGTCGCTTGTCCACAAGCTTACACCCCCAACACTCCGGACATAACGCCCACGCATGACAAGCTCAACACCCTGTTGCATGCTTGCATGTCCAGCTGAGCTTCCGGCAATTTCTGAAAGGCCGAAAATTGCTGACACTGCTTGTGAAGTAGTTTAAAATGCTATGACTGCTCCTTGTTTGTTTTGCCGCTGGGTGTAATGGCACTCGGCTGGGCCGCTGTCTGCTGAATGCTTCTGTTCATCCACAACCCCAAACTGACACTCGGTACGGCACTCCTATGAGCCCGGAGGAGTGGCGAGCGTAACACATGGCCCTAAGCAGCCTGCACGTGCTAGCCATGCTATGCCATTACACTGCATCGCACTCACATCAGACAAGAGAGTAGGCCGTTCATGTTGCTGCTGAGCTTGAAGCGAGGACGTCTGCCTTCAGCCCCAGCAAATCCGCGATGATCGCATTGCTGGCGAGGCACCGTGCTCCTGTTCAGTGCCCAAGGGTTTCAAGGAAAGCGGGGTGTGATGGGGTGTGATTTCAAAGGGTCTAAGAGCCGCGTCTAGCGACCCTCTCATCTAGCCGCGCCCTAAGTTCACAATGCACTTGGCACGGCTCCTGCCAGCGGCTGCTTGGTGGCCTTCAACTAGCAACCCTCAAACATCAGCTTTGATGATCAGGGTGAGGGCGAATGCCCCAAATGGCCATGGTTGATCTTGTTTGCTGTAACGGCCTTAATTGTTCTTCACCGCCTTAATCAGTGTGGGCGAACTGTTTCAAGCGCGAATGTGGGTGGTCCAGGACTCACGCCAGCCTGCACATGGCCCAGCGTTGCCAGCACCTTCTGTCTCATCTCCTGAACCGTCAAAGTCTCCTGCAAAGAGTCAGGTGTTCGCCGTGTTCGTCTCTTGGCCAGACAGACTATCTGCCTCATCCAGCTCCACACACACCTTGGGCAATTCGCGACTCCCCCACCGCAGGACCTCCCCATGGCCCGGTCCAGTGGTCCCATGGCGACACCTGCAATTTCGCAAGCCTAGGGCACAAGCTTCCTGGCCACTTCGGCACAGCATGGTTCGCAAGCGGCCCATGGCTCAAGGCAAGGCCCTGCTGTCTGGAAAATGCTGGCTCTTTTGCGGAGGTTGAACAGGCGCAGTTCGTATCTGGAGGTATGAGATGGTACTCAATTTGTGCCTGTGGCGGCATGGCTTCGTGCCTAAAAGCATGAGCAGCACAGAAAAGCTCATTGCATGGCAACGTGCGCGCCAGGTCACTCCGCAGGAGTTCGCCGCCAGCAAGTGGATCTGATCCAGCCGTGGGTGCCTGCATGTCGGTGAGGCATCCAAAGCAAAAATCACATCAAGTCTGCTTCAGGGGATGTCTCCCAAAAAAGACTTACTAGGCAGTGCTCGGCGGCGACCAAAAACCTTGATTGAAGCATGCATATGAGGAGCGGACGAAACACTTTACTTGGCCCTAGTACTTTTTTGAACGTTATCGTTTTTGGGGGAGACCTTATCGTTTTACAGTGTTTTCGAACTTTGGCAGATCCGGCTCGAAAATCGCAACTTTGTAGTACAAGTCTAGTACGCGAGGCACACTTCCGCATCTCCGGCTCGAAAATCGCAACTTTGTAGTACAAGTCTAGTACGAGAAGTACACTTCCGCATCTCCAGCTCGAAAATTGCAACTTTGTAGTGCAAGTCTAGTACGCGAAGTACACTTCCGCAGCTCCAGCTCGAAAATCACAACTTTGCAGTACAAGTCTAGTACGCGAAGTACACATCCGCAGCTCCAGCTCCAAAAAGGAAACTTTGTACTACAAGTCTAGTACGCGAAGTACACTTGCGCAGCTCCAGCTCGAAATTCGCAACTTTGTAGTACAAGTCAAGTACGCGAAATACACTTGCGCAGCTCCAGCTCGAAAATCGAAACTTTGCACGAAGTAGACTAGCTCGAAAATCGCAACTTTGTAGTACAAGTCTAGTACGCCAAGTACACTTCCGCAGCTCCAGCTCGAAAATCGCAACTTTGTAGTACCAGTCTAGTAAGCGAAGTACACTTCCGCAGCTCCAGCTCGAAAATCGCAACTTTGTAGTACAAGTCTAGTAAGAGAAGTACACTTCCGCATCTCCAACTCGAAAATCGCAACTTTGTAGTACCAGTCTAGTAAGCGAAGTACACTTCCGCATCTCCAGCTCGAAAATCGCAACTTTGTAGTGCAAGTCTAGTACGCGAAGTACACTTCCGCAGCTCCAGCTCGAAAATCGCAACTTTGTAGTACAAGTCTAGTACGCGAAGTACACTTCCGCAGCTCCAGCTCGAAAATCGCAACTTTGTAGTACAAGTCTAGTACGCGAAGTACACTTCCGCATCTCCAGCTCGAAAATCGCAACTTTGTAGTACAAGTCTAGTACGCGAAGTACACTTCCGCATCTCCAGCTCGAAAATCGCAACTTTGTAGTACAAGTCTAGTACGCGAAGTACACTTCCGCAGCTCCAGCTCGAAAATCGCAACTTTGTAGTACAAGTCTAGTACGCGAAGTACACTTCCGCAGCTCCAGCTCGAAAATCGCAACTTTGTAGTACAAGTCTAGTACGCGAAGTACACTTCCGCAGCTCCAGCTCGAAAATCGCAACTTTGTAGTACAAGTCTAGTAAGAGTACACTTCCGCATCTCCAGCTCGAAAATCGCAACTTTGTAGTACAAGTCTAGTACGCGAAGTACACTTCCAGCTCCAGCTCGAAAATCGCAACTTTGTAGTAAGCGTCTAGTACGCGAAGTACACTTCCGCCTCCAGCTCCAGCTCGAAAATCGCAACTTTGTAGTACAAGTCTAGTACGCGAAGTACACTTCCGCAGCTCCAGCTCGAAAATCGCAACTTTGTAGTACAAGTCTAGTACGCGAAGTACACTTCCGCAGCTCCAGCTCGAGAATCGCAACTTTGTAGTACAAGTCTAGTACGCGAAGTACACTTCCGCATCTCCAGCTCGAAAATCGCAACTTTGTAGTACAAGTCTAGTACGCGAAGTACACTTCCGCATCTCCAGCTCGAAAATCGCAACTTTGTAGTACAAGTCTAGTACGCGAAGTACACTTCCGCAGCTCCAGCTCGAAAATCGCAACTTTGTAGTACAAGTCTAGTACGCGAAGTACACTTCCGCAGCTCCAGCTCGAAAATCGCAACTTTGTAGTACAAGTCTAGTACGCGAAGTACACTTCCGCATCTCCAGCTCGAAAATCGCAACTTTGTAGTACAAGTCTAGTACGCGAAGTACACTTCCGCAGCTCCAGCTCGAAAATCGCAACTTTGTAGTACAAGTCTAGTACGCGAAGTACACTTCCGCAGCTCCAGCTCGAAAATCGCAACTTTGTAGTACAAGTCTAGTACGCGAAGTACACTTCCGCATCTCCAGCTCGAAAATCGCAACTTTGTAGTACAAATCTAGTAATCGAAGTACACTTCCGCATCTCCAGCTCGAAAATCGCAACTTTGCAGTGCAACTCTAGTACGCGAAGTAGACTTCCGCATCTCCAGCTCGAAAGTCGCAACTTTGTAGTACCAGTCTAGTAAGCGAAGTACACTTCCGCATCTCCAGCTCGAAAGTCGCAACTTTGTAGTACAAGTCTAGTACGAGAAGTACACTTCCGCATCTCCAGCTCGAAAATCGCAACTTTGTAGTGCAAGTCTAGTACGCGAAGTACACTTCCGCAGCTCAAGCTCGAAAATCGCAACTTCTCAGTACAAGTGTCGTATTTAGGAAGCACACCTTGGCAGCTCCAGCTCGAAAGTGGCGACTCGCCTTCTCGTTTTACGGTGGCCACGCAAGGGTCCCACCGTAGCTAAGTTGCAACTGCAGGGGTTATTATAGAGCCGTGTGTTAGCTAAGGGTTATCGTTTTTGGGGGAGACCTTATCGTTTTCCATGGTTTTGGCATGTGTTATGCAAAAACGTTCCCCGCCTTGATAAAGTGGTCTTCGTGTGTTTTGTCCGTGGCTCATATGGAAAAACAAAAACGTAGAACTGCGCAAAATTCACTTTCATTTCGACCTTATCAGGCATCAAACAAACATGGACACCAAGTGCGGGTGAGGTCCCCTAGCATGAGCGAGATACGCATATGATCAGATTCAGCTAGGGTTGGTTGAAGCAGGGTTGGGGGGATTAAACGTGGTTGGTTCGAAAAGATGTGCTATGGGTTGATGGTAGGCTTAAAGATGGGATTGATGATGCGCTTGTCCAGGTCCCTTACAGTATTCAACAGTTTCTTGGCCCACCTATGTAGCAATATGTTGATGCCTATCCCATCCGGCTGTCCGCTCCTGAAGCGCTGCACTGCGATCACGAAGGGCCTGCCGAGCCTCGAGCTCGGGATGAATGCTGATGCGAAGGATGCGAAGGGTTGCTTGTCTCAGGTGGGAGCTCAACCTGCCGCACCACCCAGGGCCTCACCCTCTCGCGGACCTGTGGCAGACAAAAGTGGCAAGCCATATTTCGCGACAAAATGGATTTGCATGTCAAGCAATCATGGCCATGGCTGGATAGATGCTTCTAAGAAGGGGCAATTGCATGTTGCAACAAGAGAAGTTCTGCTCCCATGACGGACCGAACAGCAGCACCTTCTGATACAGTGGGGGTGACAAGCCTCAGCTTGCAAAGGCATGAAGCGTACATGTCAAAAGCTACCGATGGCCGATGCGGCCATGATGGCCATGCACCGAGCAAGAAAGGCGATGGTGCTTGCTCCGTAGGCACCAAACACACGATCAGAAAGGCCATGCCCGCCAAGCCGGCTCCGACCTCAATTGGCAGGCATCAACTTAAAGACTTTGACCGTCGACCAGTGCCACTGGCTGAGGCTCCAGCCAAGACGAACATATCTTGCACAGCAGCTCGGTATCCCTTTTCAAAGGCCACCCGCTCACCTTCACTGTACCTCCATGCTCATGGTGTCTCAGGATGCTTCATGGCTGGTGCCGAAGACGTTGCCATGCTTTCCTGCTGGCGTTGCTACTGCCTGGCACCGGGGTACCTCTGCACTTGACCAGGATCACCTGGTCAAAGTTCAACAAGAAACAACCGAAAGATTCAACGGCCTGGAGGGTGGTCTAGCTCGAACAGCCTGCGCGCCAATGCCTGGCTAGCAGCTCAATGCAGCCCGGGCCATGCGTGCAAGCAACCCACTCGCCTTCCGAAATCCCGTTCGCAGGGCGCCAGAGTCGGTGTCGCCTGCAGCTCACAGCAGCAAGTTTTGAAGCAATGCCGAGTGATGCCAAATGCCAAGACCCAGGCTCATGACAAAATTCCCAAGTGTTGAAGATTCACTGCTCTTTTCCGGCGCAGTCCGGAAGAGGCAGAACAGCCCTCCTGTCATTCACAGGGTTGTTGTTGTTGTTGGTGGTGGTGGTTGTTGGTGATTGTTGGTGGTTGTTGTTGTTGGTGGTGGTGGTGGGGGTCGCTGCTGCTGCTGCTGCTGCCGCCGCCTCCAACTGTCCGCACAACAACTGGACCCCTGTGCCCTTCGGGTCTAAAGAAAAATTAAGAACGGGTGACCAATTTTGATTGCAGATCACATTATTGATTGTCATTGAGCCCTCCTTTTGCTCCTTGGGAAAAAGCAGCGCAAAAGCGGACAGGAGCAACAGGCAAAGCTTCCGCACAGCTCACAGCTCAAGACAGCACCGTTATGACGCGTCCACACACTAGGGTTGGGCCGGGGCAAAGCCCCTGTTATAAACATGTTTAAATACCCTCTTAGGGCTCCCGTTTAAGGAGCTCAGTCCGTTGTTTAAAAAGTTGCTCAACCCTGCCACAGGCTGCTTCTTGATGGGCACTTTCTACACCAAGCGTACACCGCGCATCGGCTCTCTTAAGCGAGTGGCGCCACCTTTGCGGGCACAAGCACCGTGCGTTGTGACACATGCCGTAGGCAGGATGAGTTTTCCGGCCTTGCGCAGATCCTTGCCAGTGGGTGGGTCGCAGCCTACGAACGTGTCATGGTGTCTTTGCAGTGCGACAGTGCGACAGCTGCAATTTAATCCTCTACATTCCCCTACCCTTGCACAACCACAACCCTTGCAACCACAACCACAACCACAACCTCCTTTATACAACCACAACCCTTGCACACGGCCTGCCCGCGATACATTCATAGCTGCCGCCGTGACGGCCGCGAATAGCACACAACGAAGCCGCCGCACGGCAGCCTGACCAAATACATGGACGACTCTTAGCAAAGTGGTACCACCTGGCTGGCCAGCCTCGTCAAATGGCTTGGAGCCCACCTCAGCATCTTCCGGACAGCCACCACAACTGAAAGACTGCGTGCCAACAGGACACACCCTCACGAACGTGGGCATCACTGCATCAATTTTCCGAAGCAAACGCAAGCGCGGCATGTGCCGTTGCCCGCCAACATCATGATTCAGCCATGATGCTAGGAAAGGCGCTTGGCGCCTTGAAAGCTGTTCTGGGAGTCACTGCAGCTTTCAGGTTTGGGTCCACCAAGGGGCAAAGCGAAACTAGGGGCTGTGATCACCGCCAAGCAGTTTAAGAGCAGAACCTTATTCTGTGAAAGGATCTACATGTGCCTGACTCGCGAATGGCCATAGCGGAAGGTATATGGCATACATGCGGAGCACATGGGGCCGTCGTGGCATTGACACCGGAAAGCCACTGGGCAAGCCCAAAGCAATGCGAAGTTCAACTTAATCAAGTTGAGACTAATTCCGACAGTCCTCCCAAGCATTCAAACTAAACTCATCATCTTGAAATTTAGACAGCAACGCTGGGCGTCATCAGCAGCTAATTCTCTCGCATTCGCGAAGGATTGGGCTGATGCAGCTGTAAAGTTCAAAATTCCATCTGGGTCGTGTGCTGGCGGCGCGCAAACCTGAATCTCACCATGCAGGCTGCCGGCAGGAACGCCCAAAGAATTGCTGAGGCTGGCAGTAAACTCCTTCGGCTTGTCAGCTCCCAAGAGGCTTACCACTCCACACCCATCAGTCTCCTCAAATTGTTCTGCAAGGCCTGTCAAAGCCATGATTGTCGACACCGGATGGGAGCGCATGTGAGCACTCTCAAGTGCGTCGTCCACTTTGCAAATCGCGATGAGGATGTGGCGTGTCTGCAACCATTTGATGCTGCACACGCCAGGCTTTGTTTTCAGGATCACTGAGTGGAAATTCGCTTTGCCGTCCTTGCACATTGCATTGGCTGTGTGCTTGCTCTCTTCGCAGAACTGCGCCCTACAGGAGATGTGGTGCTCCCCAGGCTGCAGACCTGTTGCCATCAAATTGCTGAGACGAATGAAGAGCTGCCCAGTCTTCCCCGCAGTGTTGAAGGGCCGCATCACCGGACAGCGGAAGATGGCACTCACCGGGGAGTGGTCGCTGGTGCAAACCTCAGGGGAACTCGTGTAGGACCCCGCCTCCAACTGCAGCTCCTTAGCTCAACATTCCGCAAACGGGGGAGGAATTGGTAGGGATGGGTACGGGGTGTCACCATTGTGTGTAGCGGTTGCCTTTCTTCCGGTGTCCGACTTGGGGGCTTCAGCCGTTTCGGGCTCAGGCTTTGGCTGTGTTAATGCAAATTTAGGGTTGCGGTCTGAAAGGGCCGGGAAAGAAGTCAACGCCACACTCGACCAGAAAATCATTTCAAACCGCGCGTACCACATGATGTCGCATGTTGTCATGGGTCCCTTGCAGAGTGTGCACTGAATGCAAGCACCGCAGTCTGTCGCCCAATGTTGCTTGCCAATCTAATATTTAAACAAGTCTATCACGGAACAAGCCCTTGGAGCAACTCCTGCTCGCCCTGACCATCTTTAAGGGTGCCCAACACAACATGCCTTCTCTCACACAACGTCAGGCAGGCGCTACGGATGGTTGTGGCCCGCCTTAGGCATGACTGATTCAGAAGTTTGCCCCTCTGCCTTTCCTTGCGGGCCTTTGTCACGTGCAAAGACCCAATGCGTCATTTGAAGCTCAGTTTTAAACCTTGGCCGCTTAGCCCAGAAGCAGTGGAGGCGTTGCAACGGGGCTGGCCTCAAAACGGCCTTGAGCTGCGTGCATTAAGGCTAGCGTGAACCACCTCAAACAAAGTTGAGACACACACACACAAACAAACAAACCAAGCAAACAAGAAAACACACAAGCAAACACAGACACACACACAAACACGCAAACACAAACAAAAAAACAGGAGAAACAAAACAATAACAATCAAAACAACACAAACAAGCAAACAAACAAACAAACAAAAAACAAGCAAAGACGCGAACTCACACAAACAACCACAGAAACACACAAACACACACACACACACACAAAACCACGCAAACACACACAAAATGCACGCACAAACACGCGAACACACAAAAACACACCAACACGCAAACACAAAAACACGCAAACACGCAAACACACTAAAACCCACAAGCACACACGAACATGCAAACACACAAACACACACAAACACACACACAACCACGCAAAAAAAAGAAAAAAGAAAAACCAACTCAACAAACGCAACCACACGAAAACACACAAACACGCAAACAGGCACACACACACATAAAAAACACACAGACACGCAAACACACAAACAAAAACACACAACACACAACCGCACACACACACACACACACGCACGAACACACACACACACACACAAACACACAAACATGCAAACACACACAAGCACACACACAATCACGCAAACACACAAACACTCAAAAAAACACAAACACGCAAACAAACAACACATAAACACGAAAACACACACACACACACTCAAACACACAAACACACAAAAACACACAAACACGCAAACATACAAACACACACAATCACGCAAACACACAAACACTCAAAAACACACAAGCACAAAAAACAAACACAAACACACAAACACAAACAAAAACACCAACACACCACAAACACAAACCAAAACAAACCCAAACACACGACAACAAAACACTAACACGAAACACGCAAGCACACAAAAACACACAAACACGCAAACACATAACAGCGCAACCACACAAAAACAAGCAAGCATACAAACAAACGAAAACACACAAACAAACACAAACACACAAACATGAAACACGCAGCACACACAAACACACAAACACGCAAACACACGACAAAAAACACTAACACGAAACACACAAACACACGAAAACACACAAAAGGGCAAACACACAAAAACAAGCAAACACACAAAAACATGAAAACACACAAAACACGAAACACACACACACACTGACAAAAACATGAAACACTCAAACACACAAGAACACACAAGAACACACAAGAACACACAAGAACACACAAGCACGAAATACGGAAACAAACACGCACACAAACACGCAAAAACACCAAAAAACACAAACACAAAACACGCAAGCACACAAACATCCTCAGATTCCAAAGGCCTTGCGAAGATAGACCTCTGACAAGAGGCCTTAGAACAGTCAAAAGGACTCATTGCATCATGCTTAGCATGTGTGCTGAGAAACCATGCCATTTTAAGGCCTACCCCACCCCACGCCGGCCCCGTGAGGAAAAAGAAGACCGCTTTGTTTAGCAACATCTGCGGAAATGAGCATGATGCTATATGCAACCTTGCCCAAAGCTGGTTTCGGTTGATAAGGCATCGTGTTTTGCGTTTCTCTCAGTACCACCGCATCTTCAGAGCGAGTCGCTTTGCTCCAAGGCGGTTCTACAGACTGAACAACTTCTGTAGCGTCACGATCCTGCGCTTTCCCTTGAATATGTCAGAATGTGTCTGTGAACCTGCACCTCTTTTCATAGAACTAATGCTGCACTCCGATACTGCGCCCAAGCAAGTTTGTCGTGCGGTTCTTTGTGGCTTTTCAGTGCTATCCTCGCTTTTTGGCCGCGCTGCCCGACTGAACACGCATGTCCACGTTTTGTGGGGGTCTTTCCATGTCTTTTTCAGGCCTCTCCACGGGGTTTCCACAAATGCGCAAACGCACAAACACACACACAAACACGCAAACACACAAACAAACACCGAAACATACCGAAACACACAAAAACCCAAAAGCACACACGAACATGCAAGCACGCAAAAACACACAAGCACGCAAACACACAAACACACACAAAAAAAAAGCACAAACACGACACCACCCGCACAAAAACACAAAAACACAAACGCGCAAACACGCAACAACGTGAAAAACAAAAAACACAACCACGAAACACGCAAACACGCAAACACACACACACACAGACACACACACACACACTCACACACACACACACACACGCGCAAACACAGACACACCAACACACAAACGCACACGCAAACACAAACACGCAAAAACACACCAACACACAAACACGCGTATATATATGTATATATATATATGGCGAATCTGAAAAATATGCCATGCTTCGTCATGATTGGTCAGAAGTCCTCTTTAATTTAATGACGCGGCGCGCCTTTTCTTCTGAAACCGTTCAAGTGTCGGCATCCGGGAACGATCGCCACAGCACGCGGTCCGTCCATGATGGAACCCTTGCCTTCCGCGCATCATATCTGCGCAGGCCCGTCTGCGGATCGGGCGGCTCACCTGTTGCGAACGACACGTGGCGCAAGAACGAGGAAAACGCTAGAGACATTTGTTGCAGTTCTGTCGGTCATGATTAAAGCCCTACTGTTTCGCTGATGGCGCAGGGCCAGCGGTGTTGCAACGTGTTGTTTCAGGTTTGAGTATGTAAATAGAGTAAACACCCCGCCCCAAGTTCGACAAGGTCCTGGAACGTTGCAGGCCCTGTCTGGCTAGAAGGGCTGTAACCAAAGAAACCGCGCTTTTTTGGGGGCTGGAGTGATCAGGAACTTGGTTTTCCTGGGGGGGGGGAGACCGTCCTTGAATCGGGCCTTTCATGAAACCTTGAACTGTTAAACACCACGACGCAGCGAGAGATGCGATGTTGCCAGCTCGTTGTTTTTTGCCTCATTCCTTTCGAGTGGCAACCCTTGAAACTATGACAGACCTTGGTGCGCATTGGCAATGCATTGGCAAGAGCCCTGGCAATTGTAAAAGGCCAATGCTTCTGGGCATGGGCATGTTTCGCGGGGGCAGACTTTCAGCCTTTTCAAATCATGCAAACAAGCAGACTATCATACACCCACGATTGAAAGCACTGTGCCGGCCTGCAGTGTGCTGATAGGTGGGAGGGAAGCTCAACACACCTGACACTCTTTCGCACTCTGGAGCACTGCCAGAATGATGTTCATGATGCTTTCTGGCAACTCTGGCGCCTTCTCGAAAGTTACAAAAGGCCGTGCCCTCGGATTGAACCTCGGAGGGTATCAGTGATCAGCGTACCTGCGCCTCTCTCCAGTGCCACGTGCCTTCAGCAGTTGGTCGTGCTGCTGGAGCTCCTCCCAGGCCCGCTCGTGGATGAGTCGCTCGCACTCCTCACTGACGGACATGGCTCAAGGATGCCCAAATGTGGCAAAACAAACCAATCCGTTTGGCCCACCTCCGGCTCCAGGTCAATCCGATAGTTCAGGTCACCTGTTGCAAGGATACGTGCATGTATATGCGGCACAAAGTCTTGCAAAATTGCGAGAGAGCAACCAAACTCCGTCGTGCAATTCCGGGCCAAGTTGCCAACCCAGATCACGTGCATAAACCTCAGTTTGCCGCAAAGGAAACCCAATTGCCAATGACCAAAAGCCTGTGGCCCTCGTCTTGCAGGCATTCGCGCAAATGAGTGGGGTGCCACAGCCACGCACACTACATAATGCAATCAGGTTGCTGATTCGTCAACGGCCTCTGCGAGTCGTTTGTCAGGCAAATGCCCTCAATAATGTGGGCCGTGTCCAGGTTGCGACGTTGAACGTTTCCCTGGTGGGCTGCCAAATGTGATCCCACGAAGCAAAGGCCTGTATCGCCGATGTAAAAGGACAAGGCCAAGCCACCCTTGTTGGAGTATAAGCCTCCTAGTCCCGTCTCCTCGTGGCTTGCAACCACTGTGTGGATGCACGCACTCACCCGTGCGGATGTCAAAAGCAGGATCTGGCAGTGGCCCATATCATGCCTCGCGATCATCACCGACGAAGGCAGCGCCTCTTGCACCAAATTGCACCAGTCGTCCCGGCAGCAGTCGTACTCTGGACGCGGCGTGTAGTAGCACTCCTCGACAGCTATCAGATAGATGTCGCACCCAGGCTTCAGCCAGTCCTTGTGCAGCGCAGCGATTGAAATTCTAATGCGAACATTTGTATACAGTAACCCTGGACTACTGTAACAGGGTCGCGTACCACCCCAGAATCTCTGCTACATGCTGCCGCTGCTCGAGGAAATATATGGCACTCCTAGGCATGTATGATCTGTGAAGTGCCCTTGGCAGGCATACTTTGCACTTGTCAAATGGCTGTGGTGTTGCCTTGGCAGGTCTCTCCAGCTGCGGCCTTTCCCTGGCCAGTGTTTGATCCCATCGTGTGGTGGATAATGCTCTTGTGACACTTGGTAAGGTCTTCTGCGCAACTGGAACTTCGAATTAGCCTCAGCACCCTCTGTGCTTTCCAGGGCAGACCTTTAGACACTTTCGCAAGCCTAGGCCAGACGTCAATGCACGTGCTGCATCTGCTGCCTTCTCTGCCTGGACGGGAACAGTGGAACGCTTGCCGGAAGGCAAGCGAAACGTACTTGAGATATCTAATATCTGCTCGCCAAGAATCCTGAAGCTTGCTGGGAGGGACTTCGTTGCCCATGTTCCAGCTGCCTGCAAACATCCTCAATTGCACCTTGTCATTTTTGCTCCACCTCAGGACTCCGCTGATTGCATTCCACTTGCTCGCCACACATGCCCACACCCACAAGTGTAATAAGATCAACCATCAATCCGCCAATTGAGCGCTCAATTCACGTTGAGCTTAAGTGCTTACCAGGCTTGAAAGAAAAACAATGGGGGACGACCCAGATTGATTTTCTGAGTTTCAGGGCCCAAGGCAGCCCAGGGACAGCTCCTTTTCAGGTCGATGTCCGAAAGTCTTTGTGCGTCTGTAGTGCGTAGCGCGGCAGTGCTTGTAGACTTGAATGAATCGACCACAGGATGCACCCATCGCACAGCTGACTCGCAAGAATGATTTGGACGATGGCACATTGCAATCTGCGCATGTTCAATCGGAAATGCTCGTCGCTGTCTCTGTGCAATGAGCTTCCAATGGGTCTTAAGCTAGGTGTGCAAGTCTGCACAGTAATTAACGGCCGTCAATCTCAAAGCCAAAGGTACTTTGTTTTCATTTTGCGGCGCTTGTGCATGGGGCACTCGCAAAACAAAGGCACCGTCACAACGAGCCCTGCACCATCTGAGGGATCAGGGGGCTGCCACCGTCCTGGCAAGAGCCGCGGCAAGTTCCCACATCTGGCCAATGTACGTGTTGCTCCACAACCAACTTTCCAGCAGAGCATTACTTATGCGCCAGGTAGGTGTCTTTTTCTCCGGCTGCTGCCAGCTGCCTTAAGGATTCTGCTGGTCGCTCCTTACACGGGGCAATGAAAGATCCAGTCTCCCCGGCAGGGCAAGGCCACGCAACCCTAGCAGCCAGCTTCTGTCAATCTAATGCTGACCAACAGGCCAGCATGAGGTGGCGATCTTCACCCAAAACGCCGAGATCTTCCAATGCCTGACCCAAAGCATCGAAGTCCTTGGGCAAGGCGGTAACGAATGCAAAAAAAAATCAGGCAAATACTGCTTTGCTTTGCTTTTCTTGGACATGTTCAAATGCCCACCTCGTCCGGCAGTTGCTGGCCAAACTCTGTCATGCATTGGGCTGCCAACCTCGACACACTTCGATGCACATTTCGATGCACATCATCGGCTTCTCTTGCTCAGGCGCTTGCTAAGCCGAATATGCGGACAAAGCAGCCTGATCACACCGTCGTGCGCAAACGAGAGGGCAGCACAAGCTCGAGCAACCTGTCGACATCAAAATCGGGGGCAGTGCTGTCGAGTGACACCGTCCTTGACAACTTCATGCTGCAAACAGTAAGGCCTGCCTTAATCACCAAAGCTGGCACCAAATCACTTTGGCGCGCCACAATGGCATCGCAAAGCAGTATGTTGGTCTCACCGTGGTAGATTGTCAATCTGGCATAAGCCTCCACAAACCCTGAGCCCCTAAGCAATATCAATCTCGAAAGATGCTCCCAGCCTCCAGCAAGCCAACCAGTGCACTGATCTTGGGAGCGGCCAATTTGTTGGTGGGATCCTGCCATCCAAGTGAAGGTGTGCAAGGTGTGCACACTTGTATGACCTATGGCATGGAGTCACTTAAATACTGCCCAACGCTCGCGCCAGCGTAGCCCCGCAGCTGTGACTCACAGCTGGAAATCAGCTTACAAGGCATGACCTCCAAGGCGTGCCAATGCGGTAAATACCTGCAGGCCGCACCTCACGCTGTTCTCTGCGAGGTTGACAAAGGACAAAGCTAAGCGCCAAATAACTTCAAGCATCCAGAGCAATTCAAGTTGACTGATCCCGAATTTGACTAGAACCTGTTAAAAGATGGCGCGGCTGCTGAGGCAAATGAAACTCTGAAATCCCATCCCCAGCTGACCTCTTGTGTGCTCAGGTGATCTCAGCAGGTGTTTCTTTGGCCGGTCACATCCGGGTTTGCCCGGGGGGGGGTTGGAGGTCAGGGGTGAAGCGGACGAAGTTTGAACAAGTGGGATCTTGCCATCCAGCAAATTACCTTTCAAATGCTAGCGAGTGAAAACCCTGTCGCACAGACTGGGAGAAAAGCTGCACAACGTAGCGGGCTACCGCCTTGGCTTCCGTTGGCTTCCTAGGGACGTGACTTGGCTTCCTTGGCTTCCTTGACCACATTTCAATGTTGCAATTACGCGTGCATGCTTACAATGCCGTGACTCGCCAGGCTCGGGCTGCTCGTGGCCATGGCCATTGCTTCTTATGGTTGACGCACACTACGAGTCCACGCAGCTGTGGCTTGAAACCAGCCCCATCTGCTTTGACATCACTGTAAACCTACGTAGCGCTCAACCGAGTCCTGATAATTTCAGAAGGCCGATTTGGATTTCTCAGCGTGGGCGACGGGATGTGCTCGTCAGTGTGCAACGAGAACCTGTTGAAACGCTTTGTATTTAGCTGGAAAAATGAATGCCAAACATGTTATCTGTGTCAGTCGCTTGACAGCATCAACCAAAAGAAAGAGAGAGAGAGAGAGAGAGAGAACATACAAAGCATGAAGCAGCAAGCCATGTCAGAATGCAGGAGTTGCAAACGATGAGGCGGACCAATGGCAAAACCCTTCGCAATTACAAGACCAGTATGGTGGTTGAGGGGGCGCAACACATGTATTCACCGGCGCGTGCATTTCACCCAGCTCTCCGAAAGCAGCCTCTTGCGCGCGTGCGATTTGGAAACCAGAAGGCCGCAACCATCCCGTCCGGATCCTCGGCATCCTCTATGTCAGCATCCTCTTCCAGCGCCTGCTTGTTGCAGTCAGCCTTGGTCAAGGAAATGAGAAGCAACGGCAAAGATTTGCCAGCCCCCCCCCCTCCCATTGGACAGTGACTCATCTTCCGCCATTGCTAAAAGCAGCCTTGAGAGGCGTACCGCAAGTATCCTACACACTGTCAGCAAAATGAGTTCCAAGTATCCCACGAGTACCAATTGACATAAATATAAATACGTTCTCAACTTCCATTCGTTGATGGATCACGGCTGGATGATAAGAAAGGGACTGCATTAAGACCTTGCGTAGTCTGTCGCTTTGATACGACCCTTTGATCGCATGGCCATCTGCCCGGCCTCTGGCATGGCCAACGTTCTCCCAGGCAGGGCCTGGCTGATGGTTTCGAACAGCGGCGTGTGAGCCATCAGAAAGTGGCCGTATGCTCGCCCAACCTTCGATGCAACTGCAGTCGAGGCGGCTTCACTTGTCTAAGGCCCGTGCCATACAAAGCTCATCTGTCGTGTAGATATTGACGTTTGCCAAGACGTGCTCCGGAGCATTGTAAAACAACACTCCTTAGATCGGCGTGCCAAACTGCTCCAGGAAACGCGTGGTGGGAGATTGCTCTACACCCTGTTTGCCCCTAACAAAACCCCAAGTCTTGACCTTTGCCGCTGCAAACGCGAGTCCATGTCGGATGTCCGCTTCTGAAAAGGCAAATAGTAAGGATGCCAACGCACGCGGATAGAGCCTTGGCGATATGCCATCAGGCAGCAGCGCATGTACAAACCATATCAACTGCACGCG